GAAAGGGGGATGACTTGAATAATTCTATTATCCCAATTCTTAAAAAGGTGAAAAAAAATTATCTATAATGATCCTTCTACTACTTACAAATCTCGAGATGTGCTAAAAACTCCTAATCCTAATTTTGTTTTGAGCCCTTGTTTGTGAGTACTTCTCTTCATGTCGATACCTCTCATTTTTGTAAATGAAAGCAAGATGAAATGCAAAGTTCAATCACTAAGACTTTCAATGTCTTTATCTCTACACTAGTTCATACTAGACGAGGTGTTAAAAGAGTACTAGTTGAGATTCATTTAAAGGCCTTTAAAGATTTGGGTTCTTGTGGAGCTTTAGCCAAAATGCTCCATAAGCTTTCATAATAGTTTTGAGGGTCTTTGAGTTACCTAGCAGTCACTTAGAAGTGCTAAATGTATACATGCTTTTATCAATTAATATGTTAAGTCTTGTGCTTTCTTCTTTAATAGTTTTGAGGTTCTCAACACCACAAGCTCCAATTTCAAGGTGTTAGGTTTCTTCTTTATGATGCTACACTACATTGTAAGGAGGAGTTCCTTAGTGTTGATTGCTTTTGTGTCTGTGATCTATTCTAATTTCTTGTGTTCTGGTTTCAATGCTTTTTCTATCTATTACCAATATACTTCAAAGTTTATTATCTCTATTCTACTACTAGCTTCTTGGTAGCATTGCAAACCTTATAAGGTATTTTAGGGTGCCTTTTCTTGCCTCGTATGTAGGAACGGGCAACAATACATTATTCTTTTCTACCTCATTCAACAATGGTTAATGTACTTAATGGAACAAAACATTTTCAAAATTGAGATGATTATCAAACGCGGACTCAAGTTGAATTTAGCACTTGTATTGATCCATTCACACTTTTCTGCTAATATCTATTAAAGTATTATGTAGAAATTAGCTTGGCTTGTTGTTTTTCTAATTGTTGTCTTATGTTTTTCTTTTGAACTATTAGCACTCAAAGCCTAAATTAATCTTATTTGATTTGGGTTTTTATTATGTATTTCATTTTATTTTAATATGATTGATTTTTTCAAAAAAAAATAAATATTACAAAATATTGTATTTATAATAGATTTGTCCACATGATTTGAACACAAAGTAACTTATTTGTTAGAAGAAAAAAACTTACGTGCATAACTTTAAATATTTAAAGTATCGAATAAAATCTTCTATTAATATTATGAATACTTTAAAATCCACCCACTTTAATTTAATTGGACCAAGGTTATTGAGTGTAATGTCCGCTTTGACATTATCAGAACAATACTTTAACATATTATTGTGATATTAAAATTAATTAAAATCCTTAAATAAAGTCATCACAACCCAAAGGTTTAAAAATAGATAGTTTAAAATGTTGGAATCCTAATAAAATAGATAGTTCAAACCATAATTTAAAACAAATCACGAAATTTAGTAGAAGTAAGAAAGTCAAATAACCTATCAAACAAGCACTAAAAGAGGCATTTCTAATTGCCCAAAAATTGTTCCATTGGCCATGACGCATGTGCCGTCCGCCACAGTGGATGGTAACAGAACCCAAGGTTCTTGTTGTGCAATGCGCTACAGTGCATCGTTGCTGTCATGACAACACTCCGGATCTAACTTCTGGAGTGCGTCATTTCGCCACCTGATATTCGATTTGAGTGGTTTAAATGTCCACACATAACTCTTTGAGCCCTCTAACTATTGGCACTAGTCTCACACCTAAATATTCAACCATTTAAAAGTTAAACACCTAAACTCAAAATGGTCCGTTTTCAAATCATAACACACTAAAGGGTGTCCAAAACACACAAACTAGTGCCAATAGCCTTGGAACCATTTGAACAAACTCAAATAGACTACACATAACTTGATAAACTACTTATATCACAATAAAAACCACATATATATACAATTTGGCCACTAAAACCTCTATTTCACAGCAATATCAAAAGGGTGTGTATAATTCATCATAAATATCATTTTGGCCTAACAAACACATAAATAACTACAAAACACCACTTGCACTAATATCTCGATCTCACACGACAATTTCAACATAGACACATCATTCTAGGTTAAGATACATACTTATACAATTAAAATTCTCATGCAAGTGAATACAAAACAATGAATGACCATAAGTTTGTATATATTTCATAAACTATTCGTTACAGTACCAAAATAAAAAAAGGAAAGAGCCATACAGACAAAGTTCTCAATCTTTGGTAGTCCCTTCCTTCCCTTTGCCCCTACCGGAACTTTCATTTGTAAAATATAATCATGAGGTGAGATAAACATCTAAATAACAGAATAATTCACAACTATTAATTAATATGTACAATTATAAGCAAGTAAAACTCATATAAGTAAAAACACCCGTTTAGCATATTCCAACATAACATTTCTATAATCATAGGTAATTTCTACTCTAGCATAATCATTCTACCATCTGAGCTTTCAGATCACCCGATTGAAGCTAAAAGCTCTAATGGACCAACACTCACACATTTTTAGACTATGGTTTCCTACTATCATACATGATTCAGGGTATCATTGCTTCAATACCGCATCATACTGATGTTAAGGAGCATAAATTTTCAACGCTGTACCCCAAAATGCGTACTTGGCATTAAGGAGCTACATGCCATATAGACTTTCATTACTCCTTCCTACGAGTAAGCTCTCACCTCCTATCATGATCATGCTCATATTTCCCATAATTACCATATACTTGTATCAAAATCATAAATTACTCATATAAGAAACTTTCATAAATTCACTGTTTTAAAAATCATTTCAAATACACAAAATCCTCTTTTCATAATATGCAACACTTTCAAAATACAGGTATGCAAATTACATATTTACTCACAAATAGTTAAGCAGTTAATCGGATAGAATAAATTATTTCGTTATCTCAACTCTTTTGTTACAAAAAGGGTTACTGTAGTCTAACGTTCACTCCACACGGTCTATATGTGCAACAACACTCGAACAATATTTAATCTACATGATTAAGCAATAGTTATCAATTATCACTCTAATTAAGTCTCGAAATCACTAAATTTCAAGTACCCATTATACCTAAAATCTCATTTTATCAACATCAACACTTTCAACACACTTTATTAATCTCATTTAGCATCCAAATATACTAATATCATCAATTATTTACCTATATTGTTTCAAAACTCTAAATTTTTTACCTAGGGTTCGTCCAAACCCCAACCAAAAATTTCAAATCATTACAAAACTCATAAACCTAGGTTTAGAAACTTGATTTAACTCCTCGAAATCTTAATTAGACTAATGGATTTGGTCAAAATCTAAGGAGAGATGAAATCAAATCCCAATCAAACCTAAAACCATAAAAATTCTCATAAAAGAAAGAAGGAGATGTGTATGAAGCTTACCGAATAATATTCAATCTCTAAAAGCTTCTAATATGACGTTGGGGATTAGCTCTAGCAACCCTCAATGTCTCCTCTGTCGCCTCTCTCTCATTTCTTCTTTTGAAACATACATGATTTTGCATTTGATTTAACTCATATTTTGATCGTGCATTGCAGCGCATTATGTGTGTGCCGCAACACATGACACAGTAAGTGCCGCATGCCACTTTGGCTACCCTCTTGAGCCCGGTTGATTCGTACAATATCTTAACTCATTTCCAAGCTATTTAAATGTCCGATAACTTTATTAGTGTCCCAAAAATATCATTAATTTATAAATTACATATTTTAACCAATTTATCCTTCTTAAATACTCAAAATTCCAAGTTAAAAACTTAGGTTGTTACATTGAGTATATAAGACAAAATACATAAGCATTTTCTTGTTAAAATTCTAACTCTACTCAATAACTTTTGTTTATTAATATGTACGGGACGTTAAAAAATGAGACTTAAGAATGGATCCACAACAAAATTCTTGCCTGGTTCTCTCAGGTCACATTTATGTTTTAAGCTATCATTATTTTCTTTTTCCGGCCAAAAGCTATCATTAATTGAAGTACACATGTCATTCCTTGTTAAAATTATAATTCTACTTGTGATTTTAATAATTTTACTTATTAATATGTAAGGGGAATTGAAACATGAGAGACTGAAGAAGAGATTGAAACAAGAAAATGCTGACCAAATTCTCTCCAATGTCAAAATTAACAATGAGTGCTTCATTATTGTTTTTTAGTAAAATATCTATAAAATATTTTTTATAAAATCTTTATAATATTTAAAAATTATTTAATTTTTAATCCCATCTGAATTCATTTGCTTGATTATTCCCTTTAAACTGTAACATGAGTCATTAATTCATTTACATGCATAAGAAAATTGATTAAAATATTTTTTTTAAAACTTTTTTTTGAATCATTTCAATGGCACTGCTTTTTGGATCAACTTCAATAGCCTATTGAGTAAAAAGAATATAATATTTAATTTATTTAAAAGGCTCCCATTAATTATCCGAGGAGATATGATAAAATAAAAATATAATTAAATATATATGTATATATATATATAATACACGCACACACACAAAAGATACTATACTTTGCATCTAACAGGCTTTTTGCAAACACAAATTTTAATTTTTATAGTTTCATTTAATTTTATTTTTAATTTTTATAATTTTTTTAGAATTTTCAATCTCTATAATTTTAAAAAAATTTAAAAATATTTATTTTTTAAGTTTTTATAATTTTTATTTTTTAATGATTTTAATTTTTATAAAGATTGAAAATATTTAAAAAAATTACAAAAATTTAAAACAAAACTTAAAAAAATTATAAAATTAAAAATTATATTTTTTCAATTACAATGGTGAAAAAACGAGCTAATTTAGATTTATGTGTGCATCCATTTACACATTACTAATTTTGTCTCTCGGACAAAGCTGAGGGGCTACCCATAGGTCGCTTGTACGTGACAAAACAGATACGAGCTATCCCTAATCCATGTGAACCATTTTACAACAGGCGGTGGGTTCTGGTTAGCTCATTTTTCATTATAAAATTTGCAAAAAAAATAAAATAAAATTAAGAAGAAGGGGAGAAATTCAATTTCAAATTTAGAACTCAACCATCAAATTTACATATTTAGAAAAAATACCCTAAATTTGCAAGATCTGCCAAAGAAGCAAAGCATGCAAGACAGAAAAATGGGTGTAGAGAAAGAGTGGCAGATCTGCAAGGGAGAGGGAGACGCAGAAGAGTCACGAGCAGGATCGAGGCTTCAGGTCCGGCAGCATTCAGCATTCATCTTCACTCTTCAGATTGCAATTGGCGGCGGGGGAGAGGGAGACAGTGAGTCACGACACGAGGCGAGGATGCAATCTTCAAAGCCTCCTCAATCCTCATCTTTATTCAGATCGCGATCTTGATGCCAGAAGCAAATGAGGGAGAAGATACAAGATGAGAGAAGGATGGAAGCACAGAGCAGTAGAGCACCGAAAGCATTGAGTCACGGAGACGAGACGGCGAGGGTCGAGGCAGATAAGAACTCAGAGCGAGATGCTGTTAGGAGTCGCGGAGACTGGAGACGGACGAGACGGCAGTGGTTTCTACTTCTTATCTAAGGAGTGAGGAGAAGTAGTGAAGGATGGAAGGAGCTGTCGTCTTGTGTGCACGCGTGGCAATGGCGGACCAAACCTACAATTTTTTTTTTATGTTAAACCTGTACACAGCTGTGTCCGAGAAATGAGTCGCAGGCCTGCCCTATAATGAACACAGGCTAAGCTGTTGAGTTAGCCCGCTTATTTTTTGTGGGGGGCTTTTGGTCTGCCGCTTTTGTCCAGGTCCTGGCGGGTCCAACGAGTTACAAGCTGGCTGCTCACCCCTCTGCTGGAACGAGCAAAATCCAGATCAGGGATAAAGCCACTCGGTAGATTGACCAAAATCCACGAATCCCAGTAAAATGGCTGTGGTCTTCTCGCTGCGAGCACCCCCAGCGTGCTTTCGTCCAAGACTCTCTCTCTGCCAAAATTTGTACTCGAACCCACAGAAAATGGCCAAAATCGGAGGCGTTTCATCAACTGCCACTCCCTACACCGAAAGAAAATTACCCATACTTTTATTCGATGTCATGGATACCGTCGTTCGTGATCCATTTTACCACGACGTCCCAGCTTTCTTCGGGTACACCAACTGTAACTCCTATTTAAACCCCTCTTCTTAACATCTAAAGTCCAACTTTTTATTGGGAAAGTCATTTCTCATTATCTGGCTTGTTGAAAGTTTTCCTCGATCGCGATTACAACGACGTTCGTTTTTAACATCTTTTGTCGAATCATAATTTCATTCGAAATGAGTAGAAATTTTATAAACGATTAATGCTCAATCTTCTCATTTGCTTGATTATAATCAATATTCGCACGACTGACTATTCGAAACTTTATTGTGCGGTGTTAACTATCCTGCTGTGCGAAACCTAGCTTGGATCGATAATAATGCACTTTCCCTCTCAATTCAATGTTACGTCTTTGGAAAATAGAAGCAACTGTGCCTGTTGTTCCTTTAAGTTAACAGAAGGACAGCTAAGTTCATCTTTTTAAGGTTCCCTTGCAACTGGGAATGGAACATCATCTTTGCCGGTGTCTTCTACTGTTTATTAAGCTTAGGACTTAGGAGTTCCGCAAGGCGGGTAATTGTCAGGTGGAACCCCGATATATAAAGGTCTTGTTTGCGTATATCAGTCTTAAAATCTACGTTGTTGCCTCATTTCATCTGCTAAGAGTATCCTTTGTACAATTGTTTCAGGTGATCATATCTTGTTTTTGCTTCATTTGCAACCTTCCAGAATTTGTTTCGTATCTTGAACAGTCTCGGTAATCACATAGTTATTTCATGTTCAGAATGACTTTGAAGGAACTAATAGAATGCAAGCACCCAACTGCGTGGATGGAGTTTGAAAAGGGAATAATTGATGAGGTAAAACTCAAATTCAAAGGAAATAAATATTTAAGAGTGCAGCCATGAGTTAACTTATCAGTATTAGGACATCTTTCGCATCATGCAGTGTTCAAACCTGGAAGAAAAATTGAACTAGTACGGCACAACTTGTGATGAGCATAAGCTTTAGCTCCCTTTAGACAAGTTAGATTCCTGGGAGGCTTGTTCATTCATTTGTCTTAAAGTGCGTATGGCCTATGCCTTTGGTTTCTTGAAGATCCCTCGTTGCTTTGGTAACCGGGGATGTTCAAATCCTCCAATCATACATGATTATTTTTTTATCCACATATAGCCATATCTTGAGTAAAAGTGATCCAAGATGGGATTATTTGGACTTTGAATTCTTCTGTCCTTGATTAATTCTGAAACAGGGAAAAATTGTCTTTGTGGAGTAGCATTCTCAGCAAATGTATGTGGATCCTATGTTCATGTGTTTAGTGTGTTGCAACGTATTTAGTTAGACCTAGTTTGTCTTGGTAGAAACCAGAAAAGTTTTCTGCCAACATGTGTGCTCAGCAGTGGGTATGTTCTTGTACATCTATACGGATAATGTACAATGGGTTGTAAAAATCACTATCTCTTTCTTTGTTTGCCTTTTCCCATATACTCATTTGTCTGTATATAATTTAGGATCCTGACATGTCCAAGTGAGTACCTAAGGATTAAAGCACTGTTATTGTGAATGTAATTTAGACAGAGAAAAAGGTTTAGCCTCAGACTTAACCTACTTGAACGGATCTGAATCTCTGATATGGAAACCTATGATGGACTAGGGAAATTTTACTTAAAGGTGACTTGGGTCCTTAAGGGTTGTCAACTCCCAATGCTGATGCTGCCGTTAAGCTTCTTCCCTTGGTGAACATGTCTTCCAAGGAGCAAATACCTTATCTTTGGCATATTATCAAGTAGTGCATGATGAGAGAAGGATTGATCAGAGAGCATTCTGTTGGAGAGGATTGTGATAAGATGATAGGAGGGATATTGTCTGAGCCTTTGAGGAGGTAGGGAAAAATCACTTGGGCTGGGAGAGCCTTTTGTCTCCTGAACAAGAGATAATTTTCTTTGCTTCCTTTTCTTTTAATTTCCTCTTGGATAAAACTTTGCTGCATTTTCTCATGCACTTGCTTGTGGAAAGGATAGCAAACTTTTACACAAATAGTACAAGCACTTTTTAGAGGATTCCATCATATCTACCAGTCAGAGGAAATAAAATGACATAAACATGCAAGTTATTAGCTCCAGGCATTCTTTGCTGGCAAAGCCTTGTATCCCTGGTCCTTCTTTCAATATTTGCGACACTCCTCTTCATTGTGTCAATCCATTGCTAGATTTTGAATATGCGTTGTGAAGTTATCGGATGTTCTTCAATAAGTAACTCGTAATGTCTTTCAGATTTTAGTACTTTTTATTGATATATATATATATATATATTATCCAATCAATTTACTCTTATTCTAGAATCTCTCCGGATGGGTATCATGTAATATTTTGAAGTTGCTTGTTTACTTCTTTGCCCCTCATTTTTTTTTAAATCTAATATACTCCAAACTTCCCTGGATTTTTAAAATCTTTCATAATATTCCCTTGTAAATTGAAAATCTACAAAAGGCTCTCATGAATTGAAAGGCAAAGATTTTCTTGAAGTTTTTTTTAATTATTATTTTTTGGGAGAGGGAGGGGACGGGTTGCAGTTTTGCAAAAAAGTAAAGAAAATCTGAAGGGGATGTTAAGAGTATTTGACTGAAAAAAAAAAAATTCCTTAAAAACGGTGAGCTCTAGATTCATTGCTTGGATTTAAAATGTTTCTTTTAAGGATTTCAGTTGTGTCTTGTTCAAGTGAAGTCTACCACCAATTATAATTGTTTTGAGTTTTGGGGGATGATGGACAGGTTGTACCTTTGTTGTCTGTTGCCTGTCATTTTCTCTTGACCTTTTCTCAGATCTTCTGCATGTAATTATTTGATAGTTCTTTCTCACTACCTTTTTCTTAGCAATCCGTGTCATTTTCTTCCAGATGGAGCTGGCAAGAAAATTATTTAAGGATGGAAGGCCTTTTGATTTAGAAGGTTGGTCTAAAATTCTTGTGTCTAAAGCCTGATCTTTTAATTTAAATCTTGTGTTTTTTGTATGAAGACGGTTTTGGACACTTCATTTATTTATTAGATTGAAAATCGCCTTTTCTGGGGAAGTTTTTGCTTATATGCGTGTGCTGCATTGTCTTAGAATTGCAATGTGTGTGTGGGTGCACGCACTCATTTTAATATAGAAGATCAAGCTGATTCATGGGAGTTATATATTGGTTTCCATGAGTATTAACATATCATATATGTTCAGAGTCCAGAATATCGTAGCTTTCTTGTGATCTTTGCCCCTTGTAACAACTGCTTTGCAAGTTCTAACAGCTAATCTCTCTCCTAGAATGCTGCAGGAGGTAAGTGAGCTGTGAGCACTGACTAGTACTTAATTGACAGCTGAGACTGGAATCTGGATGAAAAAGTATTGCTTTTGTTAATCCAAGACAAATTGCTGGCTTATGTTAATTTCTTGATGATTGATTTACTGTCTGCTCTGCTCCTTATTCTTCTAATTCTCCTCACGGGCATATTATAAGAATCTAATTCAATAAAGTGTGTGGTCGCTTTTTATATTCTAGTGGAGATTTAATTTTCAACATTTCAATTCAACACTCTTGAAGTATGTTTGATATATCTTGTTTTGGTGCTCAATGCAAGCCCCATACCCAAACGCAGCTGGAAAATATCAAAGTTGCTGATGTGTGTGTTGGTGTCTATGGCAGGCCTCAAATCTTGTATGAAAAGTGGATATTCCTATATTGAAGGCGTTGAAGAATTGCTTCTTTCCTTGAAGCAAAACAACTATGAGATGCACGCATTCACAAACTATCCCACATGGTAAGAGAGTTGTTCTATTATGATTTCTTATTTGCTTTTGGTTTCCATGATCAGAATGTTTCTGTATTGTAGGTACCAGTTGATTGAAGACAAGCTGAAGCTATCCAAATATTTATCTTGGACATTTTGTTCATGTAAAAATGGTATTTTACATAGTCTGGCATTTGTTAGACATTCCTCTGTCCTACTCACTCTACCCTTTATGTTGATCATCTTTTTATTTGATGTCGTCTAGAGAGAATTGGAACAGTCTCATGGTTGTACCAGTTTCTTTATCTCATTTCTTGTTTAGGGAATATTAAGTTTGAAATAATTTCAAATTATTTTATCATGCAAGCCTTAGAAAAAGACAATTTATTATGTTTTCAGGAAAGAGAAAACCCGATCCAGAATTCTATATGGAAGTCTTGGGACATCTTAAAGTTGATCCATCAAATTGTATTTTTATGGATGACAGGTTCTTACACTCACGAGTACTGGATTGTTATTAAATGTTTACTGGACCCACACACTTCTGCACGGGGAAAAGAACAAAAATTGAAAAATTGCATCAATACGCAATAGTAATGTAATGGTAGATTTGATTTTAATTATATATATTGATTTCTTTTCCTGATGAAGGTGTCAATCATCATGTCATTGTAATAAAATCAAGGATCATGTTTGAGTTGAAGGAATAGGTGCTATATCATGTGCCACTAAGGACATGATGATACATAGAAGGCAGCATGTGGTATTAATTGCTCATGCTCTTTGGTCCACGTTGAAACTAGTTTGTGTAATTGGCGAATACTGTGGCATGAAATTATGTTTGCTATATTCAAAACAAATTATTGCGTTGTCGTTTGACTTGCCTTTTATTGCTCCTCAAGCATCTCCTGTCTCTTTTGCAAGCAAACTCACGAAAGCATAGTTTTTAATGGACAATGATGCCTGTAGAGATTTTTTAATGCACTTCTTTATTAATAAACGTTGGACGTTGATGAAGTGTTGCTTTTTATTGATAGTCTAGGATATGAATCTTATCGATCTGAAATAGCATGCGTTACTAGCTAGTACGAGAGAAGTGTAACGGAGGTGTACAAAGTAGCATTTCACTAATCCCTATCCTGGGCTAGCAAATCTTTGTAAATGCAACTGAAATGGTTTTTTTTTTTCCTTAATTCTGTTGTCAGTATCCTGGAAAACCTAAGGATATTACTATCTCTTGGTCAGACTAATTCGAACTTTTGCTGTATGAAACTGTCATCTGTGAAATGGAGGTTCTTGGCTTGATCATTTATTTCCCCTTCTTTCCTGCTATCGATCTGTAGAACTGGTTGTTGTGCAACAAATGAATATTTTGTATGAAAGCAGTGAGCAGACTAGACTAGAAGAGTTGAATTTGTTCAGATTGGCTTTATTTATGCTAGCATGATTATTGTTTATACGATTCCCTTTCAGGATGAAAAATGTTGAGGTAGCCACTGAACTTGGCATCAGGGGTATACATTTCAAGAATGCTAACGCGCTGCGTGAAGAACTGTACCTGATGGGGATTGACATTTAACCAAACGGGGATCACCATAAGCAAGTCTGACAAACACCCCCCCCCTCCGGGGAACCCTTTTTTTTTTCCTTTTATTTTTGTTGTCATTTATCCTCATCATGCGCCAATCTTCACGGCCCGGGGAAAAAGGGATATGGGAAAACCTGACAATTGGTTGTTTCTTGATTCTTCAATTAAATATGAGAGATTTTACATGGAAGCTTTTAATGGCGACTCTAGTGCTATATTTGGTAGGGAAGTCGATTTTTAGGGATAGGAGAATCGGACAGGATAGAGTGGAAGGGTTTTCACGGAAGGCTATTTTGGGCTTAAAATGTAAGAATTAAGATTTTTGGGTTTTCCAGTACTCGTGAGGGGTAGCCTGCAAGCGGCATGTTAGAAGAATTTTTTTTTTTTTTAAGAAACCCAATATATTATAAGATAATTCAATAGGATTCAATATGTGCATAATGATGTAATCTTTTTTATATTTATCATTATTAACAGATTAATTAAATATAATAAAATAGGCATTTTTTTAAGTACTAAAATCGATAACTTTCATTTTTTAAAAAAATAAACTTGTTCTTTTAATAATTTTTAGATTTTCATTTTTATCAATATTAGTGAAGAAGGCTATGACCATTTGGGTATAAGGTTTTGGCATAGTCCATGCGAATGTAGAAAATGCTTAAGTTTTGAGAGATATTCCCACTTGAGCTTGACAATACTTGAGTCAAATTTGCCAATCAAGTAGTTATATAAAAGAATATTAATTTTAAATAAATAATAAATTATTGTAAAATAGGTAAATTAATATCTTTATGTTATTATTGATTTTTTATCTTATTTATAAATCAAATTTTAATTATTTTATCAAAGTGAAAGAGGGTGCAAATTTTTTTAATTTACTTTTATTAAATACATTTTATTTAAAAATACTCTCTTTCAAATAAGTCTGTACTCTATGCTCATGTAGAAAAAATTGAAAAGATAAAACTAAAAGAAAATAATCAGTAATTTATTTTTTTAAAATAAAGTGACTTATAAAAACTAGAGTCAAAGTATTTTTTTGCTATAGTATTTTTCTTCGAGGAGCGTCAGGCACTTTATACTAATAAATGAAATATTTTTTTTTTCTCGAACTATTTTTTAGATGTGCAAAAATTTTCCTTTGTTAGTGAATGTAGGAGGATTTTTACTCCCTTGAAAAATACATTTTAACTAAAAGTACATATCAGTGATCACTTTTCTTTTGACAGTACTAATTTGCAAAAGAAAAGGTTTAATTGCTTGTTTCATTCTATTTATTGTCAGAAAAAAATAGTCATTATTAAAATAAAGATAGTCATTAATATTTATTTTTTCTTTTAAACTAGGGTATTTTAGTTGTTTTACAAAAAAATTATTAATGTTTGAAAGATTTTTAAGTATTTCAGAAGAATCATGACATTTTACAATATCCCATTGTTATTTACATATTTTGGAGGGTTAAAATGAATTTTTTCCTTGTGTTTTCCTTTAAAGAGTATGGGACATTGTGTATTAAAAAGTGAAGCATTTTTTTCTTAAAACATTTTTTAGACAAATAAAAATTCTTCTTCATTAATGGATCACTAACAGAAGAAATGTTTTGCTCATTCTTAATTATTAATATAGAGTGTTCGACACTTTTTTTTTTTTTAAAAAAGGTATATCAAGATAAAATGCACTTAAACCCTAGAAACTAGCATAAATTTATTTGTCAGCAATACAAAGGAATGCAGCCGGCAGCACGAGCAGATAAACAAATTACGGAGGGAGCAGAGGGGACGAGCAATCTGGCAAGTGGAGAGCCACTGAGCGCGATACCCAAAAGAGTAGAGGGAGGAAAGAGAGACGAAAGAAAGATGTCTTGCGGTGTGAAGGGCTTCCGTTTTCAGCTTCAGCTTCCCGCGCGTCCCTTGCGCCCTTCTGCCTCTCCAACATCCCAAATGCTCTCTACTCTCTCCCTCCCTCCCATGCCCAAGCTCCTCTTCCCATACAAACCCAGACCCAAACCCAAACCCAGGTCCAACCTCCTCCGTTGCTTCTCTGGTACGCCTCTTTCTATTGCTCCTTCTTCTCTTTCTTTCTTATTAATCATGCATCTTCCCCCCTTTCTCCCCTACTCTAGGTTTATCAATCGCTAATTCTGTGCTTGCCCTGGTCACAATTAATTTGTCTCCAGATTCTGCTCATTTCCACATACCTGTCCCGTGGTGCTGCTTCAGTTGATTTTTTATTTTTCATCATTCCCTTGCCCTTCATATTTATATTATCGGGATTTTTTTTTTTAATTTTCTTCTGACGGCATGTCTCTCTCATGAGTTAGTATGTCTCACGGCTCTGTACGCATCCATTTTTTCAGCGTTAACCCCTGAACTCAAGTCCACCCTGGATAAAGTCATTACTTCAAATAAAGTGCTTCTATTTATGAAAGGGACTAAAGATTTCCCGCAGTGCGGATTTTCGAACACGGTGGTGCAAATATTGAAATCTCTCGATGTGCCTTTTGAGACAATAAATGTCCTGGAAAATGACTTGTTACGTCAAGCTCTGAAGGAGTATTCCAACTGGCCAACCTTTCCTCAGCTATACTTAGATGGAGAGTTCTTTGGTGGCTGTGATATCACTGTTGGTATGTCATGTTTATTTATTTCCACCTGATCTTTTTCTTCTTGGGTTGCTTTGCTAATTCTCCTTCAATCATGTCCCTAATGCACTAGTAACTACTTAGACATATCATGCTAACAATTTCAAGCCTTCAAGAATCTGATACCTAGTAGAAGTAAATGCTGGTGCTGCCTTGGTTGCCTTGGGTCAAAAGGAAGCATCAAAGACTGAAAATAACACTAAACAAATACGGAACTACAGCACATGTGTGGTAAACACCCGCAGGGCCGCAATGCTTTTATCGAGTTAGCTCGTCTATGGGCATGATAATTGTTATTGGCTAAGCCAGAGCGAATGAGTTGTTTAGGAGACGACTATGATGAACTTCGTGTTTTTATATTTAACATGGAAAATGAAAATCAATTTGATGGTATCCCGTATGATCTTGTATGGATTTCGCTCTGGAAAAGTAGCGCCCACACTGGAGGGCAGATTTTGTTTGATATAATTTTTAGATTCTGTTCACCTTGATGACAGCACGATTATCGCTTCTTGTATCAAAGTGAATGTTCATCAGAAGTTGTCATTAATGGTAAATATCATTATACGGTTAGAACTTGGGATGCAAGTTACCATTCAGTCTCTGTTATTGAATCTGAATATTCTCTGCAGGGAATCGAAAAAAGGAGAAAGATTTGTATGCGTACCGTGCTTTAAATTCAAATATAACTTGTTGATAGGTATAGTGACTAAAGCGCTGTATCATTAACTGTTGTCAAAGTTATGCTTGTAAGTTATAGCTGTACGAGGGCTTTTATGGATCAAGTGACTAATCACCGTGTTAAGATCCGCCGAGTTTAAAGCCAACATGCTAGCGTGATGATGTATAACATAATTTTTATTATTCCATTATTCGTTTGAGATTTTCGTGGCTGTATACGTGACTTCCGCGTAATTGATCCATGGTGATCGAAAAGAACAAAATATAGTGGATTTCGAATGATGCTGCTTTTATCTGTTCAATCTGCTGCTAGAATAACATGAGTTTGTGTGGTCCCACACGTTTTGTTTGGCTACAGACGCATATCACAGCGGAGAATTGCAGGAACTGCTAGAGAAGACAATGTGCTCCTGAAGCCTCCTTTAGTCCAAGGGCAGAAAGAAGGACACCGATGATGCATAAATTCGTTCAAGTGTCCGCACTCCATAGCTGGGTACGTCTTACGATTGTTGCAGGAAAATAATCCTTCCTGGTGTTTGAGCGCAAACAAGCGAAGGTGAGTGATGAGAATCAAGAAGACCTTGCTAAATCACCAATTGTTGCTCTGTATTGTATCCATATCCTGTGTTCAATCTATCTTACCTTAGTAGCTTGTAAGTTTAACATGCTTAAAACGGTGTGATTTGATAGCTCGGCTTCAAATTAATTTAGATCTTTTGAAGCGTGGGAAGCCTTATCAGAAGTAAAGGGATGGTGACATTGTGTGAAAATGCAGCAGACTGTCTTCTATTCGACATCTTTCTTTACATTTCTTTTTATTCATACATGTCATTTATCTTAATGAACCGACGAAATCCATCCTCCCCACCCCAAAACACACACACGAAAGGTGAGGCAAAGTAATTGCTGCTAGGCTTTATGAAGAATATAAAAGAAGTAGAGATGAAAAAAAAAAACAGGAGGAAATTTCATCTAAGGACTACAGTAGTACTTTTTTACAAATCAGATCCAAAAAATTCTAGGATTAGTAAGATTTTGGGATTGAAGTGAAATAAAATGCTGAAGCAAAATGATCAAAATGTCCTTAAATGATTTAGAAGAATTATTAATTTTACTTGCAAAATTTCTATTATTATATGTTAATGTTTTTGTGTTATTTGTTAAATCCATAACATTACTTGTATATTATCTAACATGTATTAAATCCATCCATCATAACTTATTAAATTATTAATTTTACTTGTAAAATCACTAAAATTATTTATTAATTTCCTTGTATTATTTATTAAGTTCATAATGCTACTTGTACATTATCCTTGTATTAAATCTCTTCATCATGACTTGTTAAATTATTAAGAGTTAACAGGCAAATTTGCCTTGAAATTATTTTGCCAACTGCACTTGGTACTCTAAACTTTTTGTTAGAATAATGTTGCCCTCCAACTTTAAAAAATGGTGCCATGTTGCCCCAACGTTTGACGGTTATGTTGACATGGCCATTTATGCATGCTGAGTAGGATCCATGTAGACTTAAAGAATCTCATCGTTTTCGTTATTCTTCACCACTCCCAGAGGACTCTCCCTCCTCATGCATTCATGGCTTCCTCTCATCCCTCCATGCTCTAGCATCTTCATGGTCCATGATCATGGTTGTCATCTCCAGGCAACCTTAAATCTCCCTCACTCAAATAGGTTTCTCTTGTTTTGCTCTCAACGTCCAAGGTCATGGCCAATCCTAAGACATGTGTTTGTGATGTTGATCTCGCTGTCGAGGGTTGCTTCTCCTTTGAATCCGTTAAGCAAGACCCCAAGTTTTAGGGTTTGCCTCATTTCTTTTGTAGCAAGTCTAGTGGTGGTTTGATCTGCCTTCTCATCAATTTTGTCGACTCTCTGTCTCTCTCTCTCACCCTCTTCTTGAGTGTTTTCCCTTTCTGCGATTCTGCCAATGCACAAAATAGAGCTCTAGGATTTTTCCAATGAAGCTAATTATGTTGTGTTGCAACAAGTAATCCAAATTTCTCATCTTCATCAAATCTAGTTAGATTTTTAAAAACTTGAAGATGGGATTTTTTTTAATTTCTTGATTTTTAGATGTGTTGTGTTTGATTTGTGAGCCTTCCATTTCTGCCTTTGCTATAAGTTTAATGAGCTTAGTCTATTCTTAAACCTAATTGAAAATTAAGTTTTATCCCCCTATTGATTTGAGTAAGAAGCTCAGCATGCGACCCAATGATCGATGTTCAAGTGAAAATGAAGGTTGAGCTTTCTAGGCAATATGGGTCAACTTCAGGTGAGAAAGGCAAATATAGGCTAACTTCACCGTATGCAGATCACTAGAACATAGTTGTTCAAATTGTTGAAGGAAAATTACGGTGTAGAGTTCAATTCTGTTATCTCAAAGAAGTTGACTCTAGTTCTTGGGGACATCTCTCTCAAGGGCTTAAATATGAAGGACTTTGTTATGAGGGAAGAGATTTACATACAAGCATATGTTAATGTATACGCTAATGTTAATCATGGGTCTTGAAGCTTCTTGAGGAGGACGGTGCGATGGTCGTTGGAGGAGATCGAAATCGATTGAAGCCTGGGAGGTTGAAGGAGTTGAGGAGGTTGAATTCGACAGGTTATTGAGATCGATTGAAGTTAGACAAGTGTTTTGCCATGTAAGTCTACCACATGGGATTCAGTTGGTCAACACAATGAATTTAACAATCAACATCTATCATATTTAATGATAGGGCCACATTGCACTATTTTTAAAAGTTTCAAGAAAACATCTCTTAAAAAAAAATTAGGATACTAGGTGCACATAGAGAAAACGTTTAAGAACAAACTTACCTTTTAACCTAATTATTAATTTCACTTGTAAAATCTACTACATTATTTGTTAATTTCCTTAGTCACTTGTTAAGTCTATAACATTACTTATGCATCATCTAACCTTTCTTAAATCCATCCATAATCATTTGCCAAATTATTAATTTTACTTGTAAAATTTCTTATATAACTTGCTAATTTTCTTGTATTACTTGTTAAGTCTATAACGTTATTTCTTTTCAAACATTAGGGCAATTTGGTCATTTCTCATTGAAGTTTGTTTCAATTATGTCCTCCAATCCTATAATGTAATTTTAGAATTTTTAGGTACGATTTGTAAATAAATAATTACTATGGCCTTTATATGAAATTCTCTTAAAGAAAGTTGTGCACGATGTTTTTAAAGTGTGGAAAACATTTTTCTTTAGGTGATTCACCTCAACTTATTTCAATGTTCAGGTACAAATTGGGTTGATAGTGATGGTTTGTACTTTCAAGATTCAAGGTGAGATAACAATGATTCTTATGAAGTGATAATTTGATTTTGTTTTTGATGTACTTAAAGACAAAGCAATAAGTTAAACTAAAGTATTTGAATATTCAAAGTGAGTGATGGTGGGAGTATTCTTAAATAATAAAATAATGTCTTGTAGTGGTGTTTTTTGAGTAATAAAACTCTTTACTTAAAAGTCATACATAATTATATTGTTTCTTAAACCAACATAATTTAATAATTAATATCAACCATTATTATTTATAATAATTTTTTTATAGAAAATCATCTTTTCCTTGAGGGATACTTTTTAATTTTATAATTTTTTAAATGAAGAATGACAGATAGGTCTTAAAAGAATTAGTTAATTTAAATTAAGTTTCAAGTGTCAAATTTTAAGAATTTACAAATTCATCTCTTAATTTTATAATTTCATTATGATAAATTTATAACTTATTTTTTAATTTTAACATAATTGAAGAATAAATAAATTTATTTTTTTATTAAAATTTGAAACAGAAATTATAAATTCATCATAATGAAATTATAAAATTAAAAACCAAACTTGTAAATTCATGAAGTTTAAAACTTGAGATATAAGTTAAAAAGGACGTCTCTATTATTCTCCCTTATTTAAAGGTATCTTAAAAAAGACATAACCTTAATAATTTTTTAATGTTATAACTCTTTACATAATTTTTTACAAAAAAAAATTAATTTTTAAAGATGTTACATTTTAAAAATATTTCCACAACAGTCACTTGTTACAAAAGTTTGGCCCAAAAAAATGAAAACCGTCATTGGTTAAAGATTTCGTTTTTGGGAAGCCAGACCTAATGCGCTTTTCAATGCACAATGCTCAGAATTAAAAAAAAAAAGTGTAAAAGTTTTTTCTTTATTATTTTTCATAACCTAGTGAGTAGATACGACAAACAAAGACAAATGAGTGACAATAAAATGCACTGATGGTAGAGTTTGCTTTCAGCAGTATCAGCCCGCCTAATTGACTTTGTAATGACTTTCAACTTTTGAGGTGAGCAAGCTCTGAACTCGAGTGCAGTTCTCGCTGAGACTAGATCCACTCTACCTTTTCACTCAGTTTTAAATTTTAATGCTCCGTTTTGGTCGGATGTGACTTTGGATGAAGAAATATTCTTCCTCCATTTTAAAATATAAGATATATATTTTTTTAAAATAAAATATTTTAAAAAAATTAATTATTTAATTCTCATAATTTTTAATTTTATTATAACTCAATTTCTAAATTTTAACTCATTGTAAATCAATTCTTATACCTTTGACTCAATTATAATTTAATCCTCGAACTTTGAGTCAATACAACTTAGTCCCTATAGTTTTAATTATTTAAAATATTAGTCTTTATATCTTGAAAATAAAATTTTAAAAATTAAAATTATGTTGACATTTAGGGACTAATTTTAAATTACTAAAACTTTTAATTTGATAAAAATTATAAATATTTCATCTTTCTAATTTTATTTTTTAAAATATAAGGACTAATATTTTACATGGTTAAAACTATAAAGACTACATTGCACCGAGTCAAAATTCAAGTATTAAATTGCAATTTAGTCAAAACTTTAATGATTGAGTTATGATGAGTTAAAATTTTTGAATTGAATTACAATTGAGTTAAAATTATAAGAATCAAATGATTAATTTTTTTCTTAAAAATATAACGCATTCTAGGTGTTTTAAGGTGCAATTAGTGCAATTTTTCCAAAAATACTCTCGATTAGGGGTGTAATTAATAAAGTTTTTTTTTCATTAAGATACCTTATTAAATGGGTAAATAGGACACAAGTGTATAATTTTAAAAATAATTAACTAACTCATTATATTAAGGGTGTAATTCAGTTAAAAATACTTTATAATATCAAATGGAAGAAGTACATGATCAATAATTGGAGACGATCTAGCTAGGCATGAATCAAGTGAGTGAAGTCAAGAAATTTGGCAATTAGAATCTTTAGAGGGAAGAGGATAAGGAAATGTGAACATTATGGCTGCTTTGATGACAATGAAATGGTGGGAGAGAAGTGGAAGTTGAACTAACAATTTTGTCTATTTGACATGATGGAAGCTAGTTTTCCATAGAAATAGGGTTCCACACCTAAACCCAAGGAACCCAATTCTTGTTCTCTAAAACTTTAATTGCTAACCATTTTACCCTAACACTCTCTCTCCTTGGAACAACCTAAGGATGATGGCGAAGATGATGAGGGACCATGACAGTGATCAATATTTCAATGGCAGCTCTAAGGAAGGCAATGGCTTCTACTCGTGTGGTGGCAATGTAACACACCAATTTTTTTTTTAAAAAATAATTTAACTCAACTATGGTTGGGTTACAACCACCCAACATATTTTTATATCAATAATTTCAATATAAAATATTTTATAATTGGCTTCAACTCACACAATATAACATTTCAGATAAATTTTTACCTCCCATATGCCATT